ACCAAGGGGGCTTTTGGTGTATCTCACTACCTTGCATTTTTGGCAAGCTAAGCACGTGCTTGCCCACTCTCTTACTTCCTTATTAATACCAGGCCAACAAAACCGACTAGTTACGAGCTTGACGGTAGTTCGAATACCTGGGTGGGATAAGCCATGCAACGTATTGAAGATGTTACGGCGATAACTTTTAGGCACGACAGGGCGAGGAGTACTAGTGGAAACGTCGCGTGGAATAGTATCTTTTCCCATACCTAAGGGTTTCTCGGCTAATTGTAGAGTTGTTTTCGACAACTCATGTTGAAGCTCGTTATCTTCTTCTTGAAGACGAGCCAGTTTCACAAGGTCTATGCCGTCTATCTGGGTGGGGGAACAAACGCGCGACAATGCATCTGCCAGTGTTGTTCACTCTGGATATATGGTGAATATCCGGTGTAAGCTGTGAAACGTAGTTCAGTTGTCGTGATTCTCTAGGTGAATACGTATCTGAGGTTGAGTTCAGAGAGTACGTCAGAGGTTTGTGGTCAGTGAAAATTATGAATTCACGACCCTCCACTGAATGTTGAAAATGACGTATAGCACAGTACATAGCCAGAAGTTCTCTGCCGAATGTGCTGTACTTCGTTTCTGCTAATTGAAGGTGCCTCGAGAAAAAGGGGAATGGTTGCCACTCTCTGTTAACTAGGTGTTGCAGAACTGCGCCAGTTGCAATGTCTGATGCATCAACCGAGATACTTAACGGTGCCGTTGGATCCTGATACATTAGAAGTGTGGCATCCGCAATAGCTTTCTTTACCTGAGTGAAAGCATTTCGAGCAGACGTGTCGAGTTCGATAGACTTGTTGTTCCCTCGAAGGTCTGTTAATGGCTGAATCAGAGAAGCACAGTTGGGAATAAACCGTCGATAATAACTTACCAAGCCGTTAAAAGTGCGGAGACTTTTCACTGTCTGTGGCTCTGGAAAGTTCGGTATCGCCTCGACTTTAGTAGCCAGTGGGCGAATGCCCTGGCAGTCAATAGTGTGACCCAGGAAGTCGAGTGAGTCAACGCCTATCTGACACTTTTGAATATTGATGGTAACACCATGTAGGCGTAACCTTTCAAATGCCAAGTCCAAGTGTCTAAGGTGAGTTTCCTTGTCTGGACTGGCAATGAGGCAGTCGTCTAAGTATGCGTATGCAAAGTCGAGACCGCGAAATACTTCGTCGATGAAGCGTTGGAATGTTTGGGCTGCATTCCGGAGACCGAATGGCATACGTAGAAATTCAAAAAGTCCGAAAGGTGTAATCTTAGCCGTTTTCGGAATATTTTCTGGTGCCATCGGGATTTGGTTATGCGCTTTAACCAAGTCGATTTTAGAGAACATAGATGAGCCAGATAATGTTGCCGTCAAGTCGTGTATAAGGGGTAATGGGTAGCAATCAGGGGTTGTTTTGGCGTTCACTCGCCAGTAATCACCAGTGGGTCGTCAATCGTTGCTATCCTTTTTCGGTTCCATATGCAGTGGGGATGCCCATGGACTATTCGATGGCCGAATGATGCCTAGGATGAGCATATGGTCAAACTCATTTCTAGCGATTCTCAGTTTGTCAGGAGCAAGTCGTCGTGCTTTAGATGTCACGGGCTGTCCTGAGGTTATGATGTGGTGCATAACATTGCTGGTTATGCACGGAAGATCGTTAGATGGGCAATTAAGTTCCGAATATTTGTCAACAATCAGTTAAAAAGTCGGATCAAGGATTGCTTTCATCTTAACGAGTGACAACCTGGGGCCTATGTAGGTGATGCCTTTTACAGACAGGCTAGTAGTATTGTCAGTCAGTCGTTTTCGGCAGACGTCTACGAGTAAATCATAATGATTAAGTAGGTGCGCGCCAGTGATGAGCGTTGTGACGTCAGCGAGAAGGAAAATCCACTGAACAGGTTTGCGTAAACCTACGTTCAGATAGACGTGTTTCCTACCAAAGGTTGCAATCGGTTTTCCATTTGCAGCCTGTAAGTTGAAGTTAGGTTCCTTCTGTTGATCTGCTGCTGTAGCAGGGAGGACGCTGACTTTGGCGCCTGTGTCGACTGATTATCGAGTCTGGCTGATCACATCATGGATGTAAAGTAGGCGGCTAGTGCCGGCGGGATAGTTTTCCACAGACTTTAAGACATTTCCGAAATTACAAGGTTTACCGCAACATTTTGCTTCCTGGCCGTAGGTGTTTTGATACCGGCACCAGTCAGGGTTCTTCAGTGAACGTGGCTTGGACTTAGATCGACCACGTGAGTTTAGCCGTTGAGAGGAGTTCGGACGACGGTAGGAGGAATTACAAGGCATGTTTACCTAGGCATCTGCTGGACAGAGTTGCATAACTCTATCACTACAGTATCCTTACTCGAAGTCTGTTTGGCCACCGAGCATATTTCACTAACTGACCGTTTAGTTATTTCTAGAATTTTATCTGCAGAAACAGCTAAGTCATCCATAAAAACACCCTGAAGTGTCACCAGTACAGTCTGTACTGACTGTGGCAGTTTGGACAAGAAGAGTTCTTTGAAAAGTCCTTCATCGAACTGACTTTGGCCAATAACCTCTGTCATTCTTGTAAGCATGCTCACGGCTGATTGATCACCTAACTCGATGCTACGAAATAATCCGTTCAGACGCTGTCGATCCGTGAGAACGTTTCTCCTTAGGATGGATGCTTTGAGCAACTCGTACGGGTTACTTACCTCTGGGCTCGACATCTGCACAGTTACGCGTTTGCCGAATTCCCGAGGTAGGGTGTGGACAACTGCAAGGAACTGTGAATTTTGATCAGTTAATCCATGTTCGCTAAAATCTGAATCAGCTATCTGAAACCATGATTCTGCATTATCTGGCCAAAATGATACGAGCTGAATAGTCTTGGCCGTTGACCGAATACGGATGACCTTAGGAGTATGATCACTCCTGACGGAATATATATAGTTTAAAAACAGTACAGGAACAAATACAAGATGGAACGAACTCACCGGATTTGTCTGCGTATTTACCAAAGATGAAATTCGCGGCTGGGCTCACCAGTTTAGAGGCTGACGGTATTGACGTTCGCGAATTTTACGGAGTATACTAACACAAGATCTTATACCAACAACTTCTATAGTATTCGTTTCTCGTGGACCAAAGGCAAAGCAAAACAAATGAATTGGTTGTCCAAATTACGGGATATATTTCGGGACCAAAACGGATTGCGTGCCGATTGCTTAACTGGCTAGTGATTGTGCACGAACGTAACACGACGGAGTACCAAATGGCATGGATGCTTGACTGGAAGCCTTCAGTTAAGCAAGTCGACTTAAACAGTGAGTGTCAGCATCCAATGTTCAGTGATGACTGCTGTGGTCAATAATTTTGGGGAATTATTTATCGCTACATGCTTAAATTTATATATTGACGATGATTTGTCGAGATTGTACGAGTAGATTATCATATCACGCCGAAGCTCCAGAGCTCTTGTTCTTTGGATATTTATTTGACCTCCATATGTCCCACCTCACACGGATAAACAAATGCATCGTTGACGATTAAATGGCTGAAGTTTACTTGAGTCGACGAACTGCTTTTATTTCTTACACTAATTCCGTTTTCTTTGGTCGTGTGGAGATTTATATGGCTGGGGAGATTTCTTTGAACATCATCCTGTGGATTTGATTTTTAAAAATACTTTTCTAGACATGCCATTTTAGCTTCCTTAATTGTTCTTTTCGGAATTACGACTTCGGTGCAAGCGGAACTAGCATTCCTACGGTTGGAATGATACCTCTTAGGTCCATCCACGTGGCCAAAATTACCTACTAAAAATTTTCAGTCAAATGTGCAATTTCTATCTTGACGTGTGGGCCTATAAGGATAACCGGGTCCTTTAGGATCATCGGATGAAGTTATTATCACCCTTTTTTTCACCTCATTTATTTACGGAACTTAAAACTATTTTGATATGTCATTTTATGCCTTTACAATCAAATCCATTGCTTAATCATGTGATGGTAAGTGGACATGGCTTCCAGCATAGTTATAATTTATTGTATCTGTTGCATTTCGGTCCTCCTTGATAAAAGTATTCGTGTGTAAAGTGAAAGATTGGTATTGAAAATGAAGGTTGGTGTATTTCTCCAGAGTATTCCGTAGTAGTAAAGAACAGGTATTTAGCCTGCAGTGCTCCGACTATACAAAAGTCACGGACACTTATTTCTATGGAAACAATGGAGCTTTGAATAATTCAGCTCCCTTGATGGCAGTCATTTGTCGTTAAAATCAGTGGGAGGATGATCGATGCAATGTGCTATGGTTTATTAGTCCTATAATTTCTCGTTGTTCCATCTATCTTAGTTCACACTTCAGGTGAAAACGGGCATCTCCACATAGAGTAATACTTTGGAAAACTCACGACCCACAATGAGAACCAAACTGTTGTTTGGCCATGAGAATTCAGAAACCATTCAGTCTTACGTGTGCCATCATGATGCAAATCAGAGTTTTCTGTGGTAACCACTTAAAGCCAGCGGCACAGTGACGATGAGAGTGTTTAATCCATTTCCCAGGATCTATCAAGAAGATAACTTATAACCTGATCTGTAATCCTTTAAAATGGGCCCCACAGAGAATATTTTATCCCTCTGTTTTAATGCTTGCAAGCTTAATACATTGCTTTGTATTTGCTAAATGTTTGCAATCCGGCATAAACGGGCGAAATCTCCACAGAGCCATAACTAACACAGAAAACCTTTTTCTAGAGTTTAGAATCTGTGTGGATGAAAGAATGATGATCATAACGTGAGTTTACAGTCCTCTAAACCATTTGTAGCTACTTAACATAGACTGACTCATCTCTGCATACTCAACCATGAATTTTCATCAGAAGCTATTAAACTGCAAGCCAGACCAACAAATTCATATTTGGAAGCTATTATTCACTGTGCATCAATGAGGAGCGCACATACATTTGTGCTAATAAACTACCATTATAAATTTTTCAATAGGTTACGTGGCTTATTTCTCCGAAGTATTCGAATTACTCCCAAGAAATTCATGAAATTCATTGGATTGGATATTGGACATGGGAAACCTCAAACTGTCAGCTTCCACTGGTAAATATCACTGAACAAAACCAGAAATGTTTCCGAGAATGAGAGTACAAAGAATTATTTGCAGAAGTTTACACACCTCTTTCTCCTGTATTGCATGAAAGTAGTTGTACTTGGTTACTGTGTTCATATGCATCACTTCTTTCTGTTTCTACAACGCGCTGACCTATTTACATTCAGCGGGATATTTGTATGCTGTTCTAGAGAAGTAAATTATTTTTTGTTAACATGTTCATGGTAATTCTCCAATGACTTACTAATTCCACCCCGGAATTCTGTAAAATAAAATTTCTACACATTTTTGTTTGCAAATATTTCCTCATTGTCGTCTTCATATGGTCAATGAGTAGCTATAAATAGCTTCGGGCTTGTTGAAGAATGCTTGGGACAGGCTTAGGGGCCTTGCCCCACGTTCGGCTGTGAGCCCGAAGATTTTTGCCCCGACAATTCTGCAGTGCGTCCGAATAAAATGCGATCTGGGATATAAGTTATGATTCATTTTTGACGTTATAATATTTTATACGTAAGCTATTACAGTCCTTTCGATTGGTTTTCAGTGGCTTACTATTTTATCAGACGGATAAATCTCTCAATTTTTATTTTTCCATTATCAAGGATATAGAACATCGATATTTTCCGGAGATAACAATCTCCGAGTTCTATATATTATGACTTAAATAGGGGAGTCCAGGCCTGTATGAGTTTTTTACGAGTGGATTCTTGCTAACCGGTTTCTCTCAGTAAAATACATATTCGTTGCCTTTTATTTTTGAGTTAATGTAGCGACGATTTTTATGATGTGGATCACTGAAAATAATTGCGTCTTTATTTAGGTCTATATTATCCATGTATCCAATAAAAAGCTGAAAATTATTTGAGAAAACCGTGTTTATCAATATTGTCATGCACTACAGTATCATCACTTGTCGAGATCATGGATATGATGCAGTTCTTTGATCAAAGTCCTCTCCCTCTTCCATAGCTTTATTCCTATTTGTTAAAAATCGATAAAATCAAATCAGGAATGTGAGAATTTCATGGCCTGCTTTAATTCATTTGTCTTCCGAATTCACCCCTTACTTTTACCACTTTTGGTGATAAATATATTAGTGCTAATATACCTTATTCAAATTAGGATCTTTTGCGACGAAAGAAAATATAGCTATTTAGTTGGTTCAACACGTCCTTGATATTATTTCTTATACTTTCTTAGCTTCATGTCTGACTCCACTCATTCCTGAAAATGATGGAATGCTGAACAAGTGTTTTGTTCCTGTTTATGTATTCTAATCGAAATCAGTTTAGTAAACTCAGTGGTTGCAGATGGAGGTGTTTAATGCCTGAATTCGTCCTTAGCTCGAAGGCAAAATTATCCTTAGATAATGACAGATCAACATGACATACAGAATTGCATTGGTTCAACTTTCAACACTTCAAAACAATTAGGAGTAGGATACCGAATTGCGCAAATACGGTGTAAGGAGAGAAAATACAACTCTGAAGAGTTTTCTTCAGTTCTCTATGATAAAAAATACTATGCTAGGGGTAGCTTCTGCTAATCTATGAAATATATATCTCCGGGGAGATCTGACTTCCCTTGAAAGGCGCTTGCATAAGGAATATATGCCTCTTAATCCGGTAAAAAGATTTAATAAGTGTTTACATAGATGCCACTGATTGATTTCCGTGCGAAATGCTAAGGGTCTGCAGTCGTTAGTTCGCCATATCCTAAGGAATCCATGTATTCACAAAGGTTATTTTTCACTTAACTAATACTAGATAAGTTTATTTTATATAATACAATGATACAGTATTCATATAAGTGATAGTAAACGATACATTTTGGTCGAAACGGTATCCAGTTATTTTTATTTATTTATTTAAAACAATACCGGTACAGTATGGCACCAAGAAGATGTGCCACACAACAGTAATAAAACAACGTATCTAGTTATCGATACTGTGTCCATGTGTTATGCAAAAAATCTTATCTAGTATAGAATTGTGCCCTACCACACTGCCCAAATTCTACAGTTACATTAATTCTGGTTATTTCAACATGATCCTAATCCACTTGATGTTGTGAACCTTGTTAAAAGATGGTTCGATGCTTGTATGCCATTCTACCACATTGTTCAGTATATTATTACATTTTCGTGAACCAACTTGCTTCCGTAGCGTGAAATGCCATCTAACCTAATCACTTGTAGATTGGGTTAAATCTGAAAATTTCACTACTAAAGGTGGTTCTTCAATGATTTAATTTTGTAAGTGGATAATTTGATTGGTTACACCTAGTAGTGCATAAAAGATGTAAGCCAATTGGTGAAGCTGTAGATCTCTTATATCAATAGTTACTGAGGTAGAAATACGCCGTAAGAAAGTTTGAAGTGATGCGGACGAAACAGGCTAATGGTTTCTAATTGCTAGCGTAAACATTATGGAAGAGTATGGCCTTTCTAGTTAAAACCAAGAGTTTGCATTTGAAACCTAGATAATTCAGTTTAAAAATTATTACAGTATTTCAGGTACGTCTATCCTCAAAGGTTTTATGCTTTTATTCCCAACTGCTATTGATTGTTGTTTCAGTAAAACACGTCACTTTAATAGTTCATCCACAGCTGCGTATATTTAGTTTTCTTGAACTTATTGGTTGAATGTTACACATATCTTATAAGAAGGGATACATTATATATATATATATATGTACCGGGTAAAGGGTGATGAATATTGGGTAAAGAGAATCATACTTCTGTAGACGAGCTGGTACTGTAGAACAGAAAAAGTAAAATCGTGTGATACTATTGATAACTTTGAGATATGAATACACCTGTGCAACTTCGACCAACTTATCGCCACATCTCTTGGGTTCTGTTAGTCATATGGGCAGTGACCTGACAACCTTTATTACTCCTCACCGTTGTAGACAACAGTCAAAAACATTGATTAATATTAAACTTAGGTATAGTCTTTCTTTGTTTTCCTCCAAGTGTAGGCCTGATGACGCAAACGTAGCACATCAAAGTCATGGGTATATATGCTTGTTCTTTCTTATAAATCTTTTCGTAAACGTTGAGATGTTGCCTTGGTAAAAGAGAAGAGACGTGTGAATGTTGCTAAACAATAATAATTATTATTAAAACTTGGAACACTATTGTTAGTTGGTTATAACGTCGTGTCTGGGGAGAGCATTCTTGTCAAGTTAGACGACAGCCAGAAATCATTAACATTCCGTCATAACGACTATGAACACCAAGAGATGCGCCGCACAAATCTCATAGTTTGTACGGGGTTGGGAAGATTGCCCGGACGCCCAGATCGAAGCAGGTGTTTGTCTCAGGGGGCCACCCCAGAGCTTTGACTTAAAGTCTGGCCCACAAGGCAACGGAGCAGCGTCAGAAGCTGCATTCCACTGGTTGCCGGCATTCAAAACAGGTTGAAAAACCATTCGATCCGTTCGGATTCTGGAGCCCGAACACACCATAGGCTTGGAATCAGGGTATTCCACCTCCGTTAGATAGACCAGAATGTCCACCAGTCCTGTTCTAAGCGTCAGACGTTCTCATTCGCACTTTCAATTTTGGGAAGAAAGCTTCACAAAGGCGGTGAGTAGGATTTACCTGGTAGGGGCTCTCAACGTGTGGCCACATAAAGAGATTTCGAGAAGACCGAAGTCTACCCATTCTCGGTCGTACTAAGTGGTGAATGGGGGCAGGGATAGGTGTGGATAGTCCATGACCAAATAAAATCAGGCAAGTCCGTAAATGTTTGCATGTACACAGCATGTTTGGGACCTGGCAATAATACTGAGTACAAAGTAGTAAAAAGTAGTTACCCAGTACTTGTCTTTTAATGAATCACACTAAATGTGCCAAATTTTATGAATATGTTTGGTTGCTAAAAACGGAGTAGGTGGGAGCGTGGCTTTTGAACCTAAGATCCCTTAAATGAAAGTCGGTCGCTGAAACCGACAAGTGACACTTTCAGACTACGGTAAGCTTGTGATTCGTACCATATTACTTGTTTGGTTCCCCATCTGTTACAGCCTTAGAAAATGGGTAGCATCACCAGCCTTTACACAATAAGTGTGACTTAGCCTGGTACATGGGGAGTTTGTTCTCTGTCAAGTGGCATAAATATGGTGAGTAATACTGAGGTTATGCGTAGTGTTAAGTTAGGAAGGAAAATAACTCAAGGCTGGTAAGATGAATCGATTGAGATGGCTAGGACACGTGTTATGCGTGGCAAGTCATCGCCTACCTTGTCGACCAATGTCAGTTAACATCGGATTAGGTTGGAAAAGAATTAGAGGTGCTCAAACCAACATATGCTATCGGTCTAAGCAGTCTTTGACTAGTGGATTGGACCGCGTTAACGTGTGTAGATTGCCAGATTGAGATCCTTGAGACACTAAAAATCAGTGGCTGGAGACTTGATGACATGGCTCAAAGTCATCCTGAGTGGTTCAGACGCATTCACTCTTTGTCATCTTATGTCAATCAAATTCTCGTTATTCTTCCTTTCGTACATTTCCGTTTATTATGGTGTCTTTGCATCTCTTTTTTATGTTTAAGTGTGGTTTATAGAGTGTGACAAATTGAAATGCTGCACTTTCATGCGAAGTTATACGTTTAAGATTCAGTTCATTTCACCTCAGAGGATTAATGTTACTCTAGTTTCCCAAATCCCTCTGGGTGGAGCAGAGTTTCAATCCATGACTGTGTTTCAAAGTCGAATGTCCTAACTGGTCAACTGCATATCACAGTAGTGTGTTATTTTTACTACCATTTAGCGTATACTAGTTTTTGTCATCTGAAATCATCTAGCGATGGAAAAGTACTTTTCTGAATTTCCTTCATCCTCTATTTATAGTATGAGTTAGACCACTGATCTTGCATTATCTTCCGTACATTTTTTTAACCTACACTGTATTTCTTTCTATTTTAGGTATCGTAGTGACTAACATCACCGTCGATACTGCTAGGTAGCATGTAATTCCTGTGTGTGTGTGTGAAGCCTCACATTCATCTATCTTTTAATAATGCTTAATTTACAAGCATGTGGTCTCTATGCTGCATTATTCTTACACTTGTTTAACAGGTAAGGTGATTGTGTATTTTTCAGATAAGTTAATGATTTTTTTTCTAGGTCACATGCTCATATTTGTCATGTTTTACCTGATTTATTTTACAAATTATCCTCAAGTTGATGGAATCAGCTGTGCTTCCGGCTTTCAAGCAAACAACAATAGTATCAGAAGTAGAAAGTGTGCTACAGGTTTAGAGCACTGTTTGATCACCCTCAGTCGTGAAACGGTCAGTCAAACATATGAACTACACAGCTTCGATTGTTGGCCGTGGCCAGAATTGGTAGCAAAATAATTCAATTCATTAACTTTTCTGAATTTTTTTTTATTTTAGGGAAATAAATGTCCTAATGTTAGTGGAGTATGTCATGTTCTACATAGATCTAAAGATGATTTGCATAAAACTTGCTGCTGTTACGGTCATATGTGCAATAATGAGACTCTTGACATCGTTCCAACATCTGAAGGTATTGGTTAGTTTATTAGTATAATATATATAAATGTATTTGGAATTTCGTATCTCTATATAGCGAAATTATGTACACCTTATATTCATATCACCATTTGCACGGATCTTCTGTGCTGTGTGGTACCTCTGGTCTTCATATTGTATTTCTTTGTGTTCCTTTGACGTCTCCCATGTATCCCCACAACGCTGTATCATTTGACCTTTGTGACATCAAATCTATCTCCCTGCTATTTCATGTTTTTATGCCAATGAATGTCTCTTTATATACTACTGATAAATCTTATCAGTAGCACGCGCCACAATATGAATACAATTACGTTAAATTTTTGAATCAAGTAAAATACGTTTCTTGAATCTAGTTGCTGTCCATTTGTAGGATTCTTTCGAAACTTTACGGCAATCAGTTTCATTGAATTGTGTTTTGAATAATATTTTTTTGGTTGATTGTTTCTCTATAATAATTACTGTAATTATTTACATTATCTGATGTTATGAGCTATAGGCATAAGTTATTACTATGAATTGTACTCTTGTTTTATAATTGATGAATACAGTAGGATTGTTTCACTCAGTGCACGAACTTAGTGTGAATCTTCGGCGCTCGACTGACGACCAGCGGACCATGGGGTCACAGCTTTCCCCACTTACAGAGGTTTAGGCAATCGGGTAGTATAATTAATCACCGCAAAATAGGTGTGGCTCGTAACCAATTGCATGGATATGCAAGTGATTGTTGAGTAACATTTGATTTTCATCAATTTTATCTTAGTGATGTTTAATGGTAGCTGAAAGTCAGAATTTCTATCCATAGCAAACACACATACACACGCAGCGTTTTTATGTTTTATTGTAGTTATCCCTCTAATTGTTTCATAAAAACTTCATCTTATTTCCCTTAGTTTAGTTTATACGGGTAAAGGCTACTGAAATTGCACTGTTTGCTTGTGTTTCACCACTTCTAGGATTTTTATCTTCAATGGACTATTTCTGACACTTCTGTTACCATTATTTGTGTTCTGTTTTAATTGAAGCTTTAGTTGTTCAGTAGAAAGGCATTTAGTTCTAGTGTGATTTTCTACTACTAATGTCAAGTGAGTTCTTTTATATGGTTCAGCGACTTAGCATGTCACCGAAAGCATTTCTTACGGAATTCAGACTTTCATCAACAGTTGCCTTCGTTCCACACTGAAGATCAGATGGTGAGCTAGAAAGAATTAGCAATAAGGAATTCTAGGAACGAGCCAACCAAGAACCTATTGTCCAACAAATATGTCTGAGGAAATGAAGATGGGTTGGACACACACACACACTGAGGAGGTCGTTGAGTGATACCGCGCGCCAGGCCATAGAGTGGAACCGAATGGGAGCGACGAGCTGGGTGCTTGTCCGAAAGTGACATGGAGGAGATCGTGTGAGAAGGAGATAAGAGCTTGCGGCCAATCGTAGAGCCAGGTAAAGATGACTGTAGAAAACAGAATAAAATGCAGATATGCTGTTGAAGCCTTATGTTTCCCTCGGAACCTAAGGGAATAAACAACACCAAGGTTTAGGGGAACTGTTGTAGTGATGTAAAATTTAAGTGTCTAAGATACTTTTCTATTTTCTCCTTTCATATTAATTAATTTTGTAATGATGATGTGCGTCGGTGGCACAGTGGTTAGGACTCTCGCCGACCATGCACATGGTCCGGGGTTCGATCCCCTGCCGGCGCACACCCGGTATCTATGGTCGCTATTAATACAGTCAGCTGATTAAAGCTCCGAATTTTTCCGGAACTGATTCAAGTTTATGTGAAGAATCTGAAACGTTTCTTCAAGTTAATTTTCCTGATTTTATTATTAAATTAAAGTTATATGAACAGGTGATCACTACTTCACGCTTCTTCCTGATTTTGTTTTTAGTAACACTTCTAAAATAAACTTATCATGTTTTATTTAAAATAACGCATTTAAATTCTGAAAACACAAACTGTCTCTTATGCTAGCTGCATTTTTAACTAACAAGTTGTTTATAGTAAGATCATACTTTTTGTGTGTGTGTGTGTGCGGGCACATTTGTACCTTACTGATTCTTTTTTGTGCGCTGTGTTAACAATTTTTCAATTATCGTGACTAACTGACTGACTGGTTTCAACACAGAACTTTGCATCGATGTGCAGCAGTTCGAGTCGCCACACTTCATGTAGTACACAAAGCCAGAGAAGAAAGTAAAAAGAAACGCATAATAGAGACAGTAAACAGAGATATTTTATTTTTTATTTATTTTTGATTACAGCTTGATGCCACACCGTATTTTCAGTACAAGTATGGAATTTTCAGCATGGATATCGGTAGCCCAAATTTTGCAGGCCGACCATAGATATCGGGTGTGCGTCGGCAGGGGATCGAACCCCGGACCATGTACATGGTCGGCGAGAGTCCTAACCACTGTGCCACCGACGCACATATTCATGACGTGCTCCACTTAACGAGATTTGGGGAGCCCTCACACAATAGGCTTGGCTCATATAGAAGTGGTTTTTGAGTAATTCGTTTTCGTCGTGGTGCTTGAAGTCGATATTCAGTGTAGCCCTTTAATTATAAAGCTCTCTTAATCATGAGCATGTCGACCTTAAATTATCATAATTGTACACGCGTAGTCTAAAATGATTAAAAGTCCTTCATAAGTGCTTTCTGTAGGTTTGTGACTATATCTGTTTCATTAATTTTGTTAAGTTGCTAGCAGTTGTATGTCTGCATTCGTTATTGAACAAGCACTTGGTGTTTTTCATTTCATTGAGTCTTAAACCTGATTTTGTACTCCATCGCTTCGTCAATACATAATACAAATCGTAGAATTTGTTTTTATTTAGACATTTTATTCAACACGTACAAGCTGAAGTGTGTACTTCTATTTAGCTTTTACGGGATGGAAAAAGCAGAGAGGTAGTTAGCCCATGACGTGGCGTTGTGGGATGAATGTTATTTGTGGTAGGTTAGCATCGATTGATGCGTCACGACTCCCTGGTTGGGTTCCGAGAGATAGCTCGAATCGGTGGCTCGAGACGTTATCGGATATGGCCAAGAATTGCAATTAATGGCTAACGTACTGCAATTTCTTTCTTTCTTCCCTTTCTGACAATAATTCGATAAATGCTGTTTGGTTTTATTAAATATAACTGAATAGTTATGTAGTATCACAAATCCTCACATTAATTTTCAGTCTCTGTCATCTTTGTACAACTTCCTGGTTTTGTTTGTAGTTTCTTTGAAAAAAGTTTTTTTTGTTTTTATAGATATAGGTGAATTTCATAAAAATGGTCTCGGTCACTTTGGTTTGCGAGTGCCTGGTCGTGATTCAAACGTGATTGCAGCTCTTCAGGATCTTTTCAACTCAGGCATCGTTTCTTCTCTGAATTCAGATTCGTATGAAGATCCTTCAAAAGATCGTTTACTGGTCTCTTCATTACGAATATTTGTCATTTGTGGAATACTTCTTTCAACTGTATGCACAATTATTCTAATTGTGTTTTGTTTATCCCCACGATATAAAAAAGTTAGAATGAAAATTTTCTTCCCTCGCAATCACTCATCATCTTCACAATACTATCAAAATGGATTAGATAATCGTGTTCGTAGGACACTGCCATTAATCGATTGTTTTCATTGTCCAAAAAGTTCGTCTTTCAAGTCATCTTATGCCGGTGATTGTGTTATAACTTATCCTGTTCAAAATTCAGAAGTTACACATCATTGCATTTCTACTAGTGGGGATAATCCGCCTAAAGGTGGTTCATATACTGAATCAATCGGTAGTGAATTTGTATTCTGTGATATATCGGAACGTGGATCAACTACAGTTACAGAAATAGCTAATTTACAGGTGAGATTCGGTTATACAATTATCATAATTCTTTGTGCATTTGATTTACTTCTCATGTTTGCCATACCATCTCTCTTTCAGGTATTCATCCACCTTGTAGATAAACATACATACAGTTTTCAAAACTTTAAGCTGACCGTTGTTTCGTCACAAATATTTGAAAAGACACACATCTAGACTGTGATAAGCTGCACTATGAAGTTCAAGTATGAGGTTAGATAGTTTGATTACTGAATGATTCCATAGAATGGAATTCACATTGAAGTGTTTGCTTAAGGTTTTTTAAATGATACGGTGTTTATTCTCCGAAAAAAAATATATATCTGACACAAGACTTTCTTTCAAGCAAAGGAGTACATACTAGAGGAATATAGATGGCCTCCTATGGGTGTAACCGCTTCAGAAGACAAAACACGATGAAAATGCTTCACTGTAAATCATCGTGCATCGGTGGCACAGCGGTAGAATGCTTGCCGACCATGCATGTAGTCCGGGGTTCGATTCCCGACCGATGCACTCCTTTAGCCCGCTAAGCCTGTAATAAGACTCGTAAAGAGGGAAGGTTGGGCATGAGGCTAGCATCCCCCTGCTGCAAAAATAAACACCATTGCTACCGAAACTTCAAGCCTGTAGCTTGAAGTCCTATGTTCCACTGGGAGTGTAAAGGAATAAAAAAAACCCTGCAAATCATCAGTTAATCAGTTTTCTATCTCTACAACAATGTTAAAATGAAATATAATTCTCAGTATTAATCCTTCCGCTTTGACTGACATTACATAGAATGTTTGTAAACTGATCACTGTATGGGTAGTAGTAGTAGTAGTAGTGCAGAACAAAAACTTCATATTTTAGTCAAGTTATTGAAAATGTTGAATTCCGATAACAACACTGTGAGAATAGTCTGTAAAGCATAGTGAATACTGCTACTACTAATAATAGTAATGTGTTCAGTAAATGGTTGACATCAAAGGTATGAAATGGTAAGTATTCTAATTCGATTCATAATTAAAAGCTTCTTCACATAAATACATAGGCATGGGAAAAATTCAAAGGAACTATTATAACAAACGATAATGTAGGAAGGAAAGAATAAGTATATGGAGAACTATGAAAATTTACTGGGCCTGGGAGTTCATAAAGAGTGGATGCGTGTCCACCATTGGAAAAGATTTTAAGCCATACCGCCAACAATCTTCAGCCACGGATTCTCAACGATTCAAGGACGCTAACCAGGCAGTGTACACGTATTTATGTGGCTCAAACTAGCAGTAAAAATACTTCTTAGATTGATGTCATGTTTCGGTCTGACTACTCCTGACTCTTTCTCAACCTAATTCTATGTTGAGTGTAACGTTGGTCAATGAGGAAAGTGATGGCTTGTCATGCACAAAACGTGTCCTAGCCATCTTAATCGACGCAGCTTCATAGCCTCATCGATTGATTTTCCCTCCTTACCTAACAATCTACGTCTAACCTCAATATTACTCACCATATTATGTCACTTAACAGCGGAGATAAAAGGTAAACATCTATGGTCAAAGACAACTAGCCACTTGGCGTCTTCTACTTTCAATGGTCATGCCTGACAGTCATAAAGACGAACAGAGCGAACTGCTATGCAGTATACACGTGCCTTCATCGATATCTGGGTATCATGTCTATGTTAGAGATGATGAAAATGGCAAATGCAACAAGAGCTTTTTGAACTCCTATATATGAATTTTGTCTTACAAATATTGTCAAGTGATCGTTGGACAACACCTCGTTTTTCCTCTAAGATACTCATAACAGAAGACTAGCAAACTTGTTTGAAACAAAAAATAAGATGATTGGTGAGTAAATTTTAATTTTTCCATATATCTAAAACGCTAACGAATCAAAATTATTCGCACCTCTTCGATTGTGAGTAGTGGTTTTGAGTGTACCCACTGCAAAGTGAAAGAAGGATGAGTGTCGGGAGAAAATAATCACTACCGTGTTATTATAGTTGAAAGTTGGTTCAGTTAATTTCCCTTTTATATTGTTAACTTTAATTCCGATATTTCTATTTCCCTTTTTTTTTTTTCTTTTCTCAATCAGCTTGTAGCTAAATTTTGTCGAAAAGAAAAATTAATTGGTCGTGGACGTTTTGCTGAAGTATGGCTTGCCAGTGTCCCTTTATCAGTAATTACTAATCAAATAAAAATGACTCAGGATTTTCTACGTCTTTTAAATAATCATGAGAACAATCATAGTAGTAATGGGATAAAATTGAATCAATCAACTAATGGATCAGTTCTGGGGAATAATTCAAATGCTAATTCATCTTGGCATTTATTCTGTTGTCAATCAGATAATAATAATAATAAAATGAAAATGATATCTAGTGATACAATGAAACGAAATAACTCAAATACATCATCATTATTTCTTGAATCTCATACTCATATTCCTATGGATTATTTTTACAGGTTGGTTCATTATACTCGCTCATTAATGTGTAAAGTCGAAATATATATATGTTTGTGGTGTGTAATCTTGAAGGGGGTGTGACTAACTGGAGATCTAAGGAGAGGGGATGGAATTTGGAATTATGTAGTTAGTAGGTCATGAAGACTTACGGCGTAATTCGAAATTCCATTCTTTTCTCTAACCTTCACTTAGTCGCCTCCTTACAGATTTTACACCCCCTTAAATTACTCAATGCATTTTATACAGTATGTTAACAGTTTTATGAACTCTTTGTTAAATAAAAAAATGTGTTATTCTGATTAATGGTGACTGACTACCAGTGGAATCCAGGATGTGCATTTTGTCGTTAACTAGATTTCTGTCCAACCCCAGTGAGTGAGTGAGTGATGGTTTCCCCACTGAAACTCGAACCCAGAATCCATTGTTTCAAAAGCCAGAGCGTTTCCGCCCAACATGATCAATCAACGGGAAATGTCAATTAACTGAACCCCTGTGATCTGGGGTTACCTCTCTTGGCCGGTTATAAGTCCGACGAATACCGAAGGTTGGGCATTAGGCTAGCAACCCCTCCCCCTCCCGTGAAAAACACCACTGTTAACGAAACTTCAAAGCTGAAGCTTGGAGCTCTATGTTCCACTGGAAACGGGAAGGAATAAAATTATATGTTATATATAACCTGTTAGTAAAGATTTTGTTTTGTTCACTGAGTTCCAAGGGGAACATAAGCCTTTGGGCTTGAAGCCTTAAAATTTCAGTACCTGTGGTGTTATTTTTTTACGTGACGGGATTCCTAGCCTCGCGTCCAACTTAAAACCTTTATTTATCAGGCTTATTATCGGCTAGAAAACTATGCGATGCTTAGGAGTGCGTCACCCGTGAATATGACTCTGGACAACGCGCCCATTTGGTGACGATCGCCGATGCATATTTGTTCAGCCCTGAAGGTGGGGTTATTTTAAAAATATGAGGAAGGAAGGCGACTTGTACTTCATTGGTTTCCACAGTTTATTCTCAGTCATTCCGTTTTATGAAGTTCTAATCCTACTACATCATATATTAAGTTTTAGATATTTCAGTAGTATTATCAGTCTTCATACGATAAATTGAGTGTACAGACTTACAAGTGATGTTAAAGCTGTATTTTTACACTATCGTGCAAGAGTTCGCTATTATTCAGCCCCCTTCAGATCAGTTTAATCGCATATAAAATTGTAGTTGTTTGACTGTTGTAGTTATTACGCATATTTCAGTAGTATAAAATAGGAAGTGATATATATATATATATATAGCTAATTTTAAGAAACAGTTGGTGACGTTATTATCAATAAATACCTACTGTAAACTGTTAATCTACATGAATTCCTAGTGTTTATTCAAATACCACTTTGTTTTGTACGCTTATCAGATTAACAAATAAAGTTCATAGTATTTTCGTTTGTTGTTGTTCCTGATAATTTTGCTTAGTTTTTAAACACTCTTTTTTTGTGCAATCTAGTTCTTAATTTTTTTGGTTGATTGATTAATTGGTTGATTTACTATGACATAACTCAATGGCCTAAACTTTCAAGTGTTGGTTTTTAGGGATTTGATTGATTGGTTACAGGATTTCATCATGAGCTGACATTGGTTAGAGAACCATTGGAAAACCTGGGAGTACTGGACAGCTGTTTCGTCCCAGTTTGAGACTCTTCGTCAGTACGCACTCACCGGGGTTCGAACCCAGGACCTTCCGGTTACAAGGCGAGCTCGTAGACCATTAAGCCACTGGGACCAATGTCAGCTCATGATGAAATCCTGGCCTAAATTTTGTTTTACTGATAAAATAATAATAATATTTAGAAATAATAATAATAGTAATAATAAATACGTTTTAACACAGTACAGAATTTTCAACTTCTTTCACTGCCAAGGTATTCACTCCTTGTGCAGAATCGTCTTCAAGTAGTATAATAATCAATAATATACATCATTTGAAGTAATACTGTTCCAGTCTAAGCATGCTCCAATAATTTGCGTTGTTTTTCCTCTATTTCCTTCAAATTATTCATAACAGCAGAGATTGAAGCCTATTTGCGAATGTTTGTGTGTGTGTGTGTGGGGGCGTGTGTACGTATGAGCACTGTCATTCATGAACGTAATTGTATGATTCAAATAATATGAAATAAGATTTTAAAAAATGTTGCATGTTATCACAGATAGGAAAATCAGGTAACCCATTGATTTAAGCAGGCTGTCGTTTTTTTGTTATTATTATGCGACTATTACCTCAGAGCTATGCCAAGCAAAAGACTGTGCTTATAATGAATGTGGTTTCTGAGTATATGAGTAAATTTCAAGTTGGGGATCATGAGTGCATACTGCTGAAGAGTCTTAAACAAGGATGACACATGTGCAGTGCCAATCCCACATGGATTTCACCGGTTCTCTAAATGATCTCAGCTGGCGATCTAACAGTATTAAGTATGCCCTTATTGCAAATGTTCATAGTCTTCGTTTTTGATGTACATCGTTAGTATAAGGTAATAATGTATGCTCAGAAATTTATATTCTTTTAAAATTACAAACACTTTTTTCTCTGTTTTACAATGAAAATGTGAAATTTCTTCAAGTTCTTTAACTTACAACTACCGTAAGTGACTGCTAACGCTATTACGAGGCGACTTTGATATTCATTACCAGCTCACCTGTGATAATGCGAACTCTCTCTAACGTACTGTTTGCCATAACGCATCAGTTATTTTTTTTTACTGCAATAAATTACAATTAATATCACAGGAATTAGAAACTTTCTGTTGCTATCACGTTATAAGACATATTTAAAACAATTAGTTCCCTTTATGAATTTAGACAAAGCAATAAGATGACGTAATTTGTCTGAATCGTGTAATGTATTTGCGCAACACATTTCGAACAATCTAATCGTACACGAACTTGTCATAGGAATATATATGAAATTAATAAAGAGTTAAAAGGTGAGAAAATAGATTTACGTCAGGTTAAAAGGACATATTCAAGGTCAAAATAACAATGAAGATGACTAAACCAAATAACAGAGGTAATAGTACATCTGCTGTGGTATCAAAACAAAGTTTATCAAGGAAGGTGGTTTAATGTGATGACGAATTGTTTTTGAACGCATAAAGGTGGTTTAAACTTTCTAATGTTTCACAATAGAGGAGATAGGTATCCTGTCCCCCCCCCCCCATTAACGGGTTCTGAAGATTCTATTTGCTTCTGGAGCCATTTAGGAATATGCTCTGAAGCCCTTACTTGCAGAGATCAATGAGTCCTCCCTATGTATGTGTGTCCACACGTATACTATTCACAATCAAGTAACCCTACAGGATGTCTGATGGAAACGTTTTAGAGAACCGTACGTTGAAAAAAGAAGGCCAATAATGTCTACCGATATTATTCAATTTCTTGTTCCTTTCCTGAAATAAGCTTTACCAAGTCGAGAAACTCTTGAAATAGTGATGAGTTGCAACCTTGAGAAATAGTCAGTGCCGATTTTGACAACACCACCGAAAACTGAGTGTTGAGAGGGTGGGAATCCCTTTTTTTAATGACATTAACGTCTTATCGTAACCATGAACGGTGGCAAATAAATTCATGATTCCCTCTATCAGTTCATATAAAATAACATCACAAATTCAATACTTGATGTTCTTCTAAACACAACTAGAATAGAACCCACGAAAGAAACCAAGAATAATGATCCTGTTAATTCAACGATAAACAGTTGATTTTGTATTGAACTCTGCTAACTTCGTTTTTTTTAAAGACATGACGTTGAAGATGTCTAGTCTCTGATAATTATCACTAAATGCTTGCAGATTGTGAGCTTTACCATGTAAAGCTAGGATCCCTCTCTCAGATTCTCGTTGCTTCTCACCCACTACCCTTTTTTTTACCTCTGTAGACAACTCTATCTTCCTATGAGATGGTGTTTCCTTTTCATTTCTGGATGGTGTTTAATTTGTCTACTTCAAGTACATTACGACTGTATACAAAAACTGAGCTATGCATTTATCGGTAAACCTTGGTTACAGTGTGTCTTTTCAATTCAACCTCTGTTTCCTTCTGAGTAGCGGTAGGCTGTTCAAGGTTATCTTAAGGAGATTTGGTAGTTACTGATTGGTATAACCAGATTTTTGTATAACTAGTGCATTAAATACTGTACATTCCTAATTTTTCTTTTCTTAAAATATATTTTACAAGAGTTTTATACTGCTTAAAATAAAATTTTTATTCAATAAATTTATTCACACTTTCAAATCCAATGTATTTAGAAATCCCGTTGGTTAATTGATTAGTTTATTATGCTCAAGGTCTCTTTTTTGTCCATTTTGAAGCGCAGGTTTCATCAGACTGGCATTTATTCTTAATAAATTCTTCGGATCGATAGAATATTGTTTAAAATTTCTTCCTTTCCTTTGTTTGCCTGCGTTTACATATAAAAATGTATTGCGTGGGTGGACAGTAATAGTAATTTTGTAGAGTGGTTGTACGCAACCTACTTTTGGGCCAATTTTCTTCCTATTTAATTTCATCCTTTCCTGTTTAATTTCATTTGTGGTGTACTAATGGGATTAACCATAAATGACTTCAGCGACTCAAGGATTGACTTGTTACCAGGGAATAATCTCGCTGACTTAGAATATGCAGATGATATAGTCCTTCTAGATGAAGACGCTAACAAAATGCTAGTCTTCTGAACACTTTGACAGGCAGAAATCTTCAAATGTTCAGACATCAGTATATGTCAGCTAATCTGTAACAACTGACGCTTGATTCATTCATATTTAAAATTCTGTGTTGATATTTTAGAAAACCACCAACATGAATTTTCGATTGTTTATATAATGTTTCAGGTATTTATTAATATTTCTAGTTCACTTACTAAAGTTAGCCGGATCTGGATGGCTTTAACACGATATTGTCTCAGTTGAATATGCGATTATCATTAAGTTACTTGGATCATTGTGATCTAGTTATG